CATAAGTGTACATTCATAATTCCGTAACTGTACATTCATAATTCAATAACTGGAACTTCATAATTTTCGAAGCTCCATGTTCACAATTTTAGAGTTCTATGTTCATAATTTTATCACTATATGTTCATAATTGTAAGTTAATAATGTCAGAATTCTGTATTTATAATTTTATAACTTACATTCATAATGTCATAACTGTACATTCATAATCCCATAACTGTACATTCATAATCCCATAACTGTACATTCATAATGGCACAAACGAATAACGCCGTTAACGGCGATACAAAATCAATTTTTTTTTTTTAAAATTGGAGTGACGCGTTTTTTTTTTAAAAAAACAACGTCGTTTTGGACCCGTGTCCACAATTCATTGTGAACACAGGTCCAGGGCATAATTTGCCATGTCATGGGGCTCCGGTGCCTATTTTATTGGTACAGTCTTGACCCAAGCGGGCGGTAAAGAAGAAGGGTTGGCCCAAGTTAAGGGGTGGTGAAGAAGACATGTTAGTCCAAGAGTTGGAATGGGTCTTGATGGGCTAGATGTAGGGAAGATAGGGTGGCTCAAGAAGGAAGAAGTCTTGGTGGGTAGAGGTAGAGAAGAAATAATGGTGGCCTAAGAAGAAGGAAGAAGTCTTGGTGGGTAGAGGTAGAGAATGCATGGTGGCCTAAGAAGGAAGGAGTATTGGTGGGCTAGAGGTAAGGAAGACATGGTGGCCCAAGAACGAACAATAAGCCTTAGGGGACTAGAGGTAGTCGTTATATCATGGACCGCGGTGCATAATCGATTATGCACCCCTCATCAAAATAGCGTAATTTCTATAAGTAAAGAAACGGCGGCGCTGTTAGTGTTAACGGAGTGACACTACAGTGTATCTAAACCGACATTGCCTCACATATTATTTTTATATTATCAAATGGAACTGCAGTTATATCAAAATGATACTGTAGTTGTGGTGAAATAGAATTGCAGTATATATAAAATAAAACTGAATAACATTTCACATATTTCATCCAAACCAAAACGAGATAAGCCCATATTACTCATCTCTAACCTCCCAAGCGTCTACCAACCACACAAAATATTTACTAATTGAGTAAATCTTACGTGATAACATTTCACATGAAATGTATAATACTTTTAATTTAAATATAATAGTTTTATATGTACTTATAAAAAATATTATGTGTCTCAGGATAGAAAGGTCTCACACAATACTTAAAGTTATACTTTCTTTATTTTATCCAATACTTTTGATCAATTTTGATTTCTCTATGGCTTAATCTAAACCCAAATACCAATAACAACTTAATTAACCCATCCCTACCTCAATCGTTATGCTGTGCATCCGTATGCACCATGCATGGTGCATACGGATGCCAAAACGACGTCGTTTTATTAAAAAACGCGCGTCTCTCCTTTAAAAAAAATTCAGGTTCGATTCCCAACAACAATATTATATTGTTCATTCATTCTGGAATTTTAGTTCATAGATTATGAAATTATAGTTCATTGATTATGGAATTATAGTTCATCGATTATGGAATTGTAGTTCATCGATTCTGAAATTTTAGTTTATAGATTATAGAATTTTAGTTCATTCATTCTGGAATTTTTAGTTAATAGATTAGATTATGGAATTATAATTCATCGATTATGGAATTTTAGTTCATATGTTGTTGCTGGAAATCGAACCTGATTTTTTTTTAAGGGGAAATGTGCGTTTTATTAAAACGATGTCGTTTTTGTATTCGGATGCACCATGCATGGTGCATACAGATGCACAGCATGATATGCGTCCCTACCTACCTCACGTTGCCCTTTTTTCCCTCTCTTATTTATTTTAACCAAGTCTACGTTTACACTATACTTGTCCTTATCCGAATTAGACTATCCCACCCCACTTGAGCATTTTGACATTTTCCATAACCTTGCTTTTATCCCCCACCCCCCACCCCCAAAAAAAAAAAAAAAAAAAAAAACTATTATTTGACATTATAAAAATTTATTATTATACATCTTTTTATTTTTGACAAAGTTAAAAAAATGCTAATATTTGTTTAATATCTATCTTTTTAGATATATATGAAAAAGAAAGACTAAACTATATGAAACAAGAAAGAGCAAACGCCCTAACGCAGTTTCAAGAATTTACAACAACCAAATGAGGTCATTTAGATGAGATAATGGTAATCTGAATTGAATGAATTGAATTACAGAGAGAGACTAAGCTATACTAAAGTCTGCACATTATTCTCCTATCCTGTAGGCTAGACAATTAGACTAAATCTCAACCACTAGAAATACAATCATATGGTATAAGATAAAGCAACAATTAATTATATTACTAACACACCCCCTCAAGCACAAGGTTGGAGGGAAACAACATTGAGCTTGTCTCGAAGCAGCTGATAGCGTGGGGCCGGTAGCGGTTTGGTGAAGATATCCGCAAGCTGTTCCTTGGTGGAAACAAAGTTGACTAGGAAATCACCACTTGCAACTTTGTCACGAACGAAGTGGTAGTCGATCTCCACGTGCTTCGTGCGAGCATGAAAAACAGGATTGGCCGCTAGGTATGTGGCTCCCAGATTGTCACACCATAGCGTTGCAGGAGTACCTGAATGTAACCCAAGCTCACGGAGTAAGGAAATAACCCATGTCACTTCAGTTGAGACATCTGCAAGACCCTTGTATTCAGCTTCTGTCGAGGACCGAGCCACGGTGCGCTGCTTGCGCGAGACCCAAGAGACTAGATTGGCACCTAAGAACACAGCGTAGCCACTGGTAGATTTACGATCTATTGGGCATCCAGCCCAATCTGAGTCAGAGTAGGCATGTAGATCTGAGGTAGCCGAAGGTGTAAGCCGTAACCCTAGGTCCTGTGTGCCCTTTATGTACCGTAGGACCCGTTTAAGCAAAGTCCAATGTTCAGTAGTCGGTGTATGCATAAACTGACACAACCTGTTGACGGAGTAGGCAAGATCCGGACGGGTGATAGTCAAATACTGCAGGGCCCCTACAATCCTGCGGTATTGTGTGGGATTCTCAAACGGATCAGACGAGGGAGCAACCGGTTTCGTGACTGCTGCTGGAGTGGCCAAAGCTTTACAGTCCGTCATTCCGGAGCGTATGAGAATATCCTTTATGTATCTACGTTGAGAAAGAACCAAGGTGTCCCCAATTGGTAGTGTTTCAATACCTAGGAAGAACCGGGGTTGTCCAAGATCTCTAATCTTGAATGTCGCGGAGAGTCGGTGCAGCAATGTGGTGACTAGATCCGTGTCGTTGCCCATCATGATGATGTCATCTACGTACACTAGGAGAAAGACACGTGACGAACCCGTAGTGTAGTAGAAAAGTGAGACATCTGTTTTAGAGGCTCGAAACCCAGTAGTGATGAGAAAGTCGTGGAGCCATTTAAACCATGCACGCGGAGCCTGTTTTAACCCGTATAGTGAGCGTTGGAGTCGGCACACATGATCAGGATGCGTTGGATCTTCGTAGCCGGGGGGTTGTTTCATGTATACTGTTTCTGAAAGATGGCCATTGAGGAAGGCATTGTGAACGTCAAGTTGTCGCATAGTCCACCTGTGAGAGAGAGCAAGGGAAAATAATATGCGAACAGTGGTTGGTTTAACCACCGGACTAAAAGTGTCAAAGAAGTCTTCGCCCGCAACTTGATTGAACCCCTTAGCAACAAGACGTGCTTTATAGCGTTCTATCGAGCCATCAGCTTTACGCTTAGTGCGAAAAACCCACTTGCAGCCGATGATGTTCATATCCGGTGTGGCCGGTATGAGCTCCCAGGTGCTATTATGTAGGAGGGCATTGAACTCTTGGTCGATGGCCTCACGCCACTCTGGGTGACCCATAGCTTGTGAGTAACAAGTTGGGTTGGTGGATGCAGTTAGGGCGTAGAACTCTTCGCCCCGGCCTTGTGTTTGGCGCCTCGTGCGCATGACATGTGGTATAATAGCCTGGACCCGCCTTCGGGTGCCTCTGGCCCGCCTAGCCGGTGGTTCTGTCCTGGCATTGGTGGGTGAAGTTGGCGGAGCCGCAATAGCTAACGGCCTCGGCTCTTGTGCTAAAGGCAACTCCATAGCAGTGGGCACGGACTGAGAACCCACAACTATTGGCCCGGATCCCCAAGGTGGAGTTGATGGGCTAGCAGCAACCTGTTCATCAGACTGCATAGCAAAGGGAAATATGGATTCGTCAAATCGGACATGCCGACAGATAAAGACTTTTCCCGTAATTGGATCAAGACAACGGTATCCCCTATAGGAAACTGGGTAACCTAAGAAGACACAGGGCATCGACCGGTATTCCATCTTATGCCGATTATAAGGCCGTAGATAGGGATAGCAGCGACACCCGAATACACGAAAGAAAGTGTATGGTGGTTGGGTTTTATATAGTCGATAGTAAGGACTTTGATTGTTTATAGCGGAAGATGGTAGAGAATTAATCAAGTACGTTGCAGTTTCAAACGCACAGTCCCAGTAGATTGAAGGAGTTGAGCTTTCAGCAAGAAGTGCTAAGCCGGTTTCGACGATGTGTCTATTCCGGCGCTCAACTCGCCCATTTTGCTCATGTGTGTAGGCACATGATTGGCGGTGGATAATCCCGAGAGACTCAAAAACTTTGTGAAGGCGGCGGTATTCACCCCCTAGATCAGACTGGATGGCGATGATAGAACGGGAAAATTGACGTTCTACCATCGCCCGGAACACTTCAAAAATTTTATATATATCCGATTTTAGCCTTAACGGATAAAACCAGGAAAAGCGGGAGTGGTCATCCACAAACAGTACAAAGTAGCGGTATCCTGACGCACTAATTACAGGAGACGGACCCCATATGTCCGTATAAATCAAATCCAATATATTATTACTAGTGCTCAAAACTCTATTTAAAGGAAATCGTGAGGATTTTCCTAATTGACACGAAGTACAAACTTTTGACAAACTAGTTTTATTGTTGACCACCGAACAGTGTTTTAGGACTCTTTGCAAGGCTTGATTGTGGGGATGACCAAGGCGTTGGTGCCAGACTTCGGTGGACGCACGCGCAGACAGGAAAGCACAAGGTGATGATTGGGAACCAATAACTTGTACACTCCTCCCGAGGTAGACCCTTTAAGAAGAACCACCTGAGTTTTGCAATCCTTCACATAAAACAGATTTTTGTGAAACTCAAAGTAAACATCGTTTTCATTTGTAAAACGATACACGGATAATAACGGTAACGTTAAATTAGGAACGCAGAGAATATTTGACATAGACAAGGATTTAGAATTAGAATTAGAATGGATAACCGTGTGTCCAATACGAGAAACGTCCAAACCTGTACCGTTGCCAATTTTGAGCACATCCCCGCCGGTATATGTCTCAGAATGATTCAACATTTGCTCGTCCGGAGTGGCATGCGATGAGGCTCCAGTGTCGGGATACCAAGCATCTGCACCATGAACCGCGGACTCGCCAGAGACAGCCACATTCGCATGACCGGCCGGGCGATCTGCGTAGCGCTTGTAACAGTAAAGCGCAGTATGGCCATGGGACCTGCATATCTGGAAGCGAGGTCCACCACCACGGCCCTGCCGTCCGCCGTTCTGCCCATTCCGGCCACCGCGGTTCTGCCGTCCTCGACCGCCACGGTTTCCGTGCTGCTGGTCGCCGTGTCTACCACGCCCAGCGTAGAAGGCAGCCGGCGATCCTCCACCACCAGCTGACTCGCCCACTGCAAAATCATCCTCATGGATGAACTCCTGGGCTTGGAGGAAATCGGAGAGCTGCGTCAAGGTGACGGATGCGCCGGTGGCAGTGAGCGAATTCACCATTGTGCGGAACTCTGGACGTAGGCCGCGGAGGACATACAAAATTTGCTCTTCGTCGGACAGCGGTCGACCGGCAAGTGAGAGGGCCTCTGCAATCATCTTGCAGCGTCCGAGGTAGTCGGCCGGTGATCCTGGGCCTTGGCGTAGAGTCTGAAATTGCCCCAGTAGGCTCAGGCACCGTGCTCTCGTAGTGGAAGCCAGCGTAGACGCAAGGGAATCCCAAACCTCGCGCGAGGTCTCACGTCCAACAGCAAGATGCATCACCTTGTCGGATAGTGACGAGATGATCGTGGATAGGATGGCCTGATCCTGTTGTATCCACGCCTCGTAGGCGGGGTTCGGTGCAGTGGTTGCCGCCGTCACGGTGGAGGAACCTGACTCGGGAGTGACGGCAATGGTGGCAGCCGGACACGGCTTGGAGCCATCGACAAAACCAAGCAGCCCCTGCCCACGTAAGAACGGAACTACCTGAGTGCGCCAGAATAAGTAGTTCCGCATGGTGAGCCGAGTGGAAACAAAGTGGTGCGCTGCCGTGAGAGTGTTGACCGACGGTGGAGCACCGGCAGGAGCGGTGGTGATGGTTCTTTCGGAGGAGTTAGTCGACATCTCAATTCTCGGGATTGTTCGAAAAAAGAAAGGCTAACCTATCGCTCTTGATACCAGATGAGATAATGGTAATCTGAATTGAATGAATTGAATTACAGAGAGAGACTAAGCTATACTAAAGTCTGCACATTATTCTCCTATCCTGTAGGCTAAACAATTAGACTAAATCTCAACCACTAGAAATACAATCATATGGTATAAGATAAAGCAACAATTAATTATATTACTAACAATTTAGTCCGCACAGAAATTTGTTTCACGATAAATATAAATAAATTTGTATTATCAATCTCTTAGCTACTGTTCTCAAATCACTTTAAAAATGAAATAGAAAAAGAAAATGAAACATGATATTTTAAGTAACGAAAAATACTCTTATTATTAAATAATATAATATAATTGCTCATATTATTTATAGTGGCCTGGCAGGGGTCCATCACCCCCATTAAATCATTAAATAATTAAATAAAAAGTGTCCTCACATCAAGGAAATTAAATTTAATTAAAAGTGTCCTCACATCAAGGAAATTTAATTTAATTAATTAATGTGATAATTCCCAACTTGGCTCACTTTTGTGAGACTTAATTAGTTAATTAAATCTATTAGATCCACTAAAATTTGGTTCAAAGTTGAGTACCTTTTTCTTGGATTTGAAACATAATGATTTTCGTTATTTTAATTGTTGGTGATGGTGGAGAGCACTTGCTTTTCACCTTCATCACATCTTATATCTTCCTTGTTTGTCTATTTCTTCTTCTTTCCTTTTGTTTCTTGTTGTTGTTGTTTTTATTTTTTTTTATTTTTTAATTTTATTTTGGAATATGTCTTATAGTTTTGTTAATTGTGCTTTAAATTTTAAGTTATTTACGAAAATATAACAACGTTTTTTTTTTTTCTTTTTTGACACTTTACTTTAAATTCTAATTCTTTTTTGACACTTTACTTTAAATTCTAAAGTTGGCTTATACTCAAGTCTCAAACTAGACATGCATATAATAAATTGGATTTCTTTCATTTTTACCAAATTAGACATTCCACCATGCCAAAACATTAACCTCCGCTAGATTGAATATAAACAAATATTGTTACTATATACACCTTGTTCACGTAAAAAGAAAAAAAGAAAGATAAAATTGGTTCCATAACCTATACCAAAACGGATTTAGACAAAGCAAAGACAAACAACAAATGTCAAATATGACTTATGAGATTTGAAGAATGTCTCTCATTATCATATATTCTTAAGGGAAAATGGCACTTTTTCCCCTTGTGTTATATACTTATAGCATTTTTTCCCCCTCAATTATTGAAGTGGCTGTTTTTCCCCCTGAAATGTTAAATGGACATATTTACCCTTAAAATAAATATTTAAAATAAATATTTTATTTATTTTTCTTCTCCAACAAATTATGACCATAATTTGATTCAAACCAAACAAACACTATAACAACTAAACCGAAATATTCCAATTACAATTTAGAATCGAAACCCGATAAATTTAAAGTTTATTAAAATCGCGAACCGGAACGGACGGTTCATGTTCCGAACTGAAAAAATAAAATACATTTATTGTTGAATTTAGACTATTTTAAAATAAAAAATAAAAATTTAAAATAAAGAAGGTTTAAAATCGCGAACCGGATCCGAAACCCCCGGTTCACGGTTCAACCGTTCAGGATCCAATTTGTTTGATTCATAATTTTAATAAATTGAAATCCAAATGTTGGGTTATATATCTGAATCATAACCGGAAATTTTTAATTCGATTGCTTTAGTGTTCGGTTCAGTTCGAACCGAACCGTGGTCATCCCTACGTATACACAATAATTTGTTGGAGAAGTAAAATAAATAAAATGTTTGCTTTAAGGGTAGAAATGTCAATTTAATATATCAGGAGGAAAAATCACCACTTTTAGAATAATTGAGGGGGGTAATGTGCTTACCTAAATAATTAATGGGGAAAAATGCTATAAGTATGTAATTCAGGGGGAAAAAGTGTCATTTTCCCTATTCTTAACAAAAAGATGCTGCCAACTGCCATGTGTAAAGTTTTGCTAATAAAATAGTTTGATATGATTTCTGATAATACTGAATACAAAGACTTTTTACCCACCTAATGATGGCCCTCAAGCACCATAACCCAAACACTAATTTACCAAATTATAAACAACGAATGCAGGCCCTAGGAACTGTTTTCCTTAAATGGTGTTTATCTCTCCCCTAAGATGCAATTTGGTTGTAAATGACGGAATTAGGGAGGAAATAAATTATAATTCTGTGTGAAATAAATAATATGAAAATAAAGTATAAATTTAAATCTTATTATTTGGTAGGCTAAAATAGAATTACTAGAAATTTTAATATATATATATATATATATATATATATATATATATATATATATATATATATGAGAATTAGAAGAGAATAAGTAATATAAAGACTAAAACGCTTATGTAATTGCAATTCCTAAAAAAAGATGTAGGATTATTAAGGTGGGCAGTATTTGGGAGAAATGAAATTATAATTCCTAAGGATGGGAGGGCGGAGGATTTGCAACTTCTCAAAACACCAATATGAATTTTTAAAAATCAAAACAAAAATCTAAAATTAAGCACTATTTCGAACTTAAAAATTATATCATCAATGAGATGAAATTATACCCATTTTCAATTAAGCTAACATTATCCCCTACAAATCTCTCCCACTTTCAAAAATAGATCTCACTTCCAAATCATCTACTATTCACATTACATCCCTACAAATCTAATCAACTTTCAAAAGTGGGCCCAATATAATACACTAAAATAACATTATTAATTATATTAAAATATTAAAAAAGTAAAAAAGTAAAATTAAAAAAAAAAATACAAAAACTGCTGCAGTAGCGACGACTTTTGTCCGAGTTTGCAAATTCGCAAACACGCAAATTTGTAAACCCATTTCATAAAAAAAAAAAAAAATGATGTGGCATAGTAATTCCAACCTTAGGAAAAGAAATTTTTAATTAAATAGATAGTCAAATCCTAAAAAGTTGTCAACTAAATAAATATTAACTATGATATTGATTCTCGTTCTTGGTATGTAAACCCATTAACCAAACACACCTTACAATTTTTTCAAGTCTTTCAATCTACATAGGCTTATGTATATATGACATCACCACATGCCATGTCAAATTGAAAGTATCTCATAAATTACAGGAATAGTGTTAACAGTATGATCTTCATTGTTTTGTTTTGTAGGATATTTCCATGTAAGATGATTGCTTTCTGTCTGCCTATTCTTTTGATGTGCAAAACCTTAAAACCCCACAAAAGCATGCAAGATTCCTGCATATACACCACCAATGGAAATAGTATCAGAATAGAGAGATTTTTTGGGACATCATTGCTTGCATCTGGAACTCATCATCATCCTAGCTTCTGAATGGCAATTGAAAGTGGAAATCCCCTTTTTATTATCACTTTTCTACTAGACTAGATATTTTTGCCTAACTAGTTGTAGCCTAGTTGCTAAAATACTTCATTATTGTCTTTCTTTGAATTGTCTTCATTATTAGCTTTAAAAATTAAAATCATGAAATTTCTATAACCAAATAGTGGCCAAGAAAATAGAGTTAGGGCTGTTTAATTGACCCTCTCCTAAATATTTAAAATATTTAATTATTCATGTATAATAAATAAATAATTTAATTACAAATAACAAATTTCACCCTTTGAATACAAAAAAAAAAAAAATAAAAAAAAATAGTCCAAATTCACAAACAATTCCAAAAGTTTGATCCTCTATAAAAGAATTTATTTACTTTCTTTGTAAATCAAGCATAAATCTATATGACATATATATTAACTTCCACAACATTTCTTATTCACTAGTTTGCCCCAACTTGCAAAGAATAAGTCAAATATGAGCAATAAAAACAGGAATACATTATCCAAACCCATCTGAATTTTAAGTTCAACTTCTCGCGAGACGGCCTGTTATTGACTTTCTTGATTTGAGTTGGTAAGTCATGAACAACTAGACTGATTTATCTTATTGTGATCCTTTAAATGTTAAAATCACAAACGAGCTTCTCCCAATGCACACCTTCAAAAGTAACTACAAACTTTTTTGTAAATCAAAATTCTCAAACGCGACAGTTAGGAAGACAGTTGGTCATCTAAACACAAGTCCGTTGATTGATTCATGTAGGTTTCGTACTATATATTATTTCTATTTAATTAGATATGACCATTGTCCAGTATGCAATCTCCATTTACCAACCCACCAACAAATATAAAGTTATGAAGTTATACAAAAAGTCAAGATTCAAGTGGATGACGATCATGACGGATGGTTTTATTATAACCCTAAAAAAATGATTAATTTCTGATATTTTTTTTTAAAAAAATAATTTTATATTGAGTGGAGCATTCATTTCCAAGTGGCGTATAGTGTTATACTATTAACAATCATATGTTGAACTTTCAAATAGTGATGCACCACCCAGGCCATTATATTATTACTACTAATACAAACTTTTAGTTGAAAGATGAAGAATATAAAGCCAAAGTTTCATTAATTATGCTAGTCCTTAGCTTAATTCTTCCTAACGAGGGAATCATAGATATGTCAACATCCATGCCCACAAAGATCAAATAATACAAATTAAATTAAGGAATTTATTCTCATGGGCGTTTGATTAGGTTGTGTGTGTGTGTGTATATATATATAGTGATATTTTGATAATCATATTGATCATATGGTTGGAAATAAAAATAAAAAAATGAAAATAAATAACTTATTATAAAATTGCTCTCATATATATATATATATATATATATATATATATATATTTTTTTTTTTTTTTTGACGTGGTAAAACTGGATTAAAAGATACAAAAGTTTTACCCCCCTCCCTTCTCTATATGTGTTTGCGGTGTGTTTCAAAAGCTAAAATTATTTGGTATATAAAAAATGATTGATTTATTAATTAATAATAAGATTAAGTTTAAATTTTATCTAAGACCATATCATGTATGCAACATGAAACGAATAGATAATTAAGCAAGTTTCAATGAGTTTTTTTTTTTTCTTTTTTTGAATACTACTGACTCTATTACAATGCAGTATATGTTCCTAACTACTTTCTCAATCAATTGAAGCACAAAGAGTCAATATTGCCTCCACTGAGGCTCGATCCCACAATCTCCCTTATAAGTTTCAATGAGATTAAATTTATAATGTAATAATTTATACTCCCACAAGAAAAGTCAATATATAATATTATCCCCCAAATGCTCTGTCGGGTCGGGGTGTGGGCCCTTAAGGTTGGGGTTCAGCCTTTTGGAAGAATATATAATATTATCACGCCTTTTTACATGTTAAATTTATAATCGTACTTGTATGAATACTTATTTTAGAATAGTTTGAAATAATTTTTTTAAAAAAACAAATAAATTAATAATTTTGAAAAGGAGATGTCGTAATTTAATTCCAAGCTACATTAGACCAACGGATTAGGGAATGGCATGGCATGTGTTGCTATAGTTGGTTCAACGATGTCTGCCTACCAAAGACAAATGCTTCAATTCCTTTGGTTTGAAATTTGGGGAAAATTCTTCTATATATATCTGCAAATTGACCAAAAAGAATAAGGAATAATCATTCTGTCTTATTTTATTTTATTTTTATTTTAAATACATATATCTTTTCTCCTACGCCAAAGGTTTTTCAATATTTTTGTTTAACCAATCAGACAAATTTAAAATAAGATAACTATGTAGTAATAATTAATGGTGATCGATCATTGATGAATTGAAAATATTGGACTGATATGCTCAAGAAGACAAGCCTAGGATATTGGATTGATTTTCTTTTTCCATTTTTATATTTTTAAAATGAGAAACACCACTTTTAGTCCTATAATTATGTTTATATTGTAGACTTAGTTATTAAATTATTATCTTATCACTATTTTGTCAATGATAACGAGTAAATTTGTAAAATTCTCTTTCTTTTCTATGAATCACCACATATGGCAAATATGACCCACTACAATGTGAACTCAATGAAAAAAAATGAGTAATTTAAATTTAAAAATATAAAATTATAGTAAATTAGCATATTTTTTGGTGATTGGAAAATCTGTCGCCACCATTCAAAGGTGTGTATTGAATAAATATCGTCTTATAACTCTAACAGGTAAAAGATTACAAGGGGATAAATTAGTATAAATTGCTCATAGCTAGAGATGACAATGGGTCGTCGAGGAGGCATCCACGGTTCACCACCCGATCCACCTTATACTTTATCCACTCACCACATCGCCTGGCCCGCATCGGGTGGACATTTTTAAATACCACTCTCGCCCCACCAAGTGCAGGTGCCAGCTATAGGGTAAATTGGTATTGACGAGGTTGTCCTAAGGCCCACCCCGACTCAAAATCCACTCTCACTAAAAAAAAAAACTCGATCCATGCAAGATAAATTTAGGTGGATGTTTACTGATTGATTCAAACCAAGAAAACCCTTAAGTTATACTCACTAAAAGTCAAACTTGTATCTTATGATTACCAAGTCAAAAAATTGACCAAAATAAAAAAATTCTATCAATGGCTTGATTAAGAGTTTAACACCGTGCCAACTACCATTTAGTGTGATGGACTGATTTTAAACGCAAATTATGCCCTGGAAACGTGTTCACCGTGAATGTTGAACACAAGTCAAAACGACGTCGTTTTTACACAAAAAAAAAAAAATCGCGGATGTGGAGTTAACGGCGCGCGTTTGATCAAATTATGAATTTTCTGTTATGAGATTTTGAATGTAATGTAAATTCATAATCTCATAACAGAAAATTCATAATCGCATAAAAAGTAAAATATTTATTAAATTATGAATTTTCTGTTATGAGATTATGAATGTAATGTAGATTCATTAGAAAATTCATAATTTCATAACAGAAAATTCATAATTTCATAACAGAAAATTCATAATCTCATAACAGAAAATTCATAATCTCATGGTTCCAAAGTGAATGCGTAGGCATGGTTCCAAAGTGAACGTGCAGGCATGAATTCATAATTTATGAATGTCCGTGATTTCGGACGGGAATGTGTAGGCATGGTTCCAAAGTGAATGTGCAGGCATCAATTCATAATTTATGAATATCCGAAATCATTGCTAACCTCAAATTAAAGTGAAACCGCGAAATGTGAAAATGAAGAAGAAAAGTCACGCAATTAATTAAGAAAAAAAAATAACGGTGTACTAACACCGTTGGAATCGTGTTCACCATTACGGTTCCATGGCATAACCATTGGATTTTAAATGGGTGGGCTTAAATTCTTTGGACTGAAAATAAAAGTATAGAACATATACTATTTTGTAAAGAATAATGAGTTTCCTCCATAATTAAGTAATAAAATCACCATTTTCCCTTTTATAAAAGTTGATGAAAGAAATTTGAGTTTGTGAATGGCCCTAAAACGTCACACCCAATTTGCGTAGAGTTTGGAAAGCTTCTCAGTTCTCAGATTATAGTCCTTTTCAATTCCTCCATTTTATTTAATCGCAACTCGCAAGAAAACGTTTCGAGATTGTCAAAGCTGAGGTTTTTCATTTTTGTATGCATCTGCATCGCCGTAGCCTGCAAGTTGAAACAAAACAATGGATTGTTTCCACCCAAACAAATCTAAAATAGTAAAATCTTTAAACAATTGCAAAGATTTTCCACGGTTCTCACCACTCTCCCCACTCACTCCCTGTCAGTATCCATACCCAGTAATAGATTAGAAAATTTTTCACTCTCTTTCTCTCTATTTATTTTTCATCTTCTCTCTCTCTCTCTCTCTCTCTCCCACACACACACACTCTTTCTCTACTGTCTCTTCCTCCACATGGGTATCTCAAAGAGTCTTGATTCCACCATGACTTGAGCATCATCTGTCACCATAATTGCCCTTAGCTTTTTCTTGATTCCAGATGCGTACTTGTCAGCTCCAAAGCATGCCTACATCTTTATACACACACATGCAGAGAGATATATAGAGAGAGAGAGGGAGAGATTCGATAAAGAATAGTAGCTCAAGAGTCTACTTCTAAAAGTTGAAAGCATAAGGGTTGGTGATTTTTTTTTTTTAAGAGCGTGAAAGTGACAAAATGCTGTCTTTAAGGATTCCGTTTACGTTTGTTCGGAGATTTTAGGGAGTGGGTCGAGAACAGAAATTGATGATAGCTCATGAGAAAGGCGAAAAATTGAAACTTTCTGGGAATTCCAATTCTTGGTTCTTTCTTTCGGTAAGGGCTTCTTGGGCGAGGGAAGATGATTTCTTCCGAGACGAATTTGGTGATGACAGTGATTGGGTTTGCAGTGAGTACCATGTTCATTGTCTTCGTCTGCACAAGACTAATCTGTGCACGGATTCAATTGAGCTCCACAAGGCGCTCTCTAGCCAGGGGTTCTGGATCTGACCTTAGCATTGTGAGCTCCCTATTCCTCTAATCATTTAGCTATATATGCAATGTTCATAGTTTCTCTGTTTGTAAATCCCCCAATTTCTTGCTCTATCTTTGATGCCTGTTGTTTTCAGTTTCAAATCTTTAACACAATGACTGAAGTTTCTTTTGATTTAGTACTTCGATTGGTCCCAGGTTGTTTTACTGTTAATTTGTTCTTGAAACTGCTCTGCAGGTATCTTAGTACTGTGTGGTTTTAGGTCAACAGATCTTATTCCCTCAGTTAAGGAAACCTAGCTATATTAGCTTGTATTTGTCTGGTGATGTCTGTGGGGAAAGTTATACCTTTTAGATCTCTGTTCTCCAAATTCTGTCCCTGAAAACAGATTAATTCTATGTTTCTTGGTTAGGAGTTACAATAAATCGAGAATAACTAGCTTTGTAGTCCTACGTAGGGTAGCTTCAGACTTTCAGATCGTGATTTGATGCGTTAAATGTTGCTCATTTTGACCGTTTCACAGTTAGAACGCGGGCTGCACGGTCTTGAACCTCTAGCTGTGAGCAAATTCCCGACTAAGAAGTATAGTGATGTGTTTTTCACCTCAGCCGAAGACACTCAGTAAGTATACATTTGTTTATAAGCTCGGTGTATTAGTAACTTTCTTGCTTAACTTTGTCATTTATGGATGATCGAGAGACTTGAGAGTTTGGATATTGTATCCTTAGGACTAATTATTTCTTTGATTAAGGAACTAGAAATAAATAAAGAAAGTACGGTACCAGCATATAGTGATGCGTGGATAGTGTTTGGTTGTCTTTTGCCTTTTTCGTTGAGACTGTTGTATGTCTAAAGTTTTAAAGTATTATTCTAAATATGTTGAACTGTACTTCCTTAGCCTTTAACAAATAAAATTGTGAAGTGCAAGTAGGCATAAGGGATTTGAATATGTGACGGAAGTACATCTGAAGTCAAACACCGAGAAAGAAGAACAAACATTATTTTTTTCTAAAAAAAAAAAATTATGAATATCTAATAGTGCATTAGAAAACGGTAATTAAGTGTTATGCAAACAGCGTTTTTGTATTTTCCTAATTGGATTTACACATTGAAGATTTGAAGGTACTAACAATATGATGTGTTCTTGTGTCCTCTTGCACTTGTCTGAACCGGTGATTTGATCTCCTTTAATAACGTTAGGTTGGTTAGCTTGGCTAAGATCTAGAGACGTGGGCCATATAGACCACATGGGGTGTGGGGGGGGGGGGGGGCACCAGGGAGCCACAAGGGGGGGGGGGGTTGCCTGTAGTGGCTTGGTGGGGTCCTTTAGAAATGAAGGTCCATAGAGGAACTGGAGGAGATGACCTTCTCTTTTCAGTTTTAGTTGAAAGTTTTGTAGGCCTATAATAGTAGAGCATTGAATATTTGAAGGTATTTCAAGATGTATTGGGCTTGTTCTCTTACTCACCTCTTATTTGATCCATTTAGAAAGTCCTTTTGTGTGCAAAACTATTCAAAGCCATGTGTATAGACAGAAGTCAGTACTAACCGTAAGCTCTTACTAGGATGCGGGGTGATGTGTGTTGAGCATATAGCCATTAATGTGCAATCCAACTATCAGCTTAAGCTTTTAGTTGAGATGGAGCACATGCTTCAATTTGGTATCAGAGCCAGACCAAAGGTCATGGGTATTTACTTGAGTGATGGAATTTTACATTTTACATTTTTACATCACAGATGCACAGTATGTCTCGGTGATTACCAGCAAGAAGATTCGTTGCGCATCCTGCCATTCTGCGGGCATTATTTTCACGCGACGTGTATCGACGTGTGGCTGCAGCAGCACTCCACTTGTCCAGTCTGTCGAATCTCCCTCCGCGAGGTCACCGAGAAAAAGCGGTTTATGATGCCACCGCTGTTCAGTTCAGCTGTCCGGTGTCACCATGCCATGGCATCCGTGAATGTTAATCCCCACCAGTGCATTCGTTCGTGGAATAGGCTCTCGTCAACGCCACCCGACAGATCAGGGTCGAACATCGCCTCGGACAATTGCCACCCGCCTTCGAGTGGTAGAACAGTAGCTGCTGCTGCAGAGTGTGATTCTGTCTCGGTTCAAGCTACTACTCCGGTGGCTAAAGGCTCGACCAATAAACAAACCGAGAGCCCATCAAACATCTGAATGGTTAGAACAATTGCTGGTTTTCTTGTCCTCGCTTTCTGTACATATCTCAGGGTGAATTCATGTGTATAAAGTGTTTTTTGTTCTTTTTCTTGACAGTTTTAGCAGTGACTTTTGTAGTTTTGTTAGTTCTGTTGTAAAATAGCTTTGGGTTATTCTTCAGCTACCAGCTATTTTGTGTGCCTCTCAGCACACATATTTGATGCCAATCATATCTGTTTCACTCTGCAGCAATGTATGTATATATTGCTTGTCTTGCTTGAACCATCTGAATCAAAGTACCTACTGATATGCCGTCAAAACGGGATTTGCTTGCCAGCCCGGCCCGCTCCCTACTTAGGTAGGGGGTGGGTTTCGAAAATAGGAGCCTGCCAAAGAACGGGCTTCCTGCCCCGCCTAGACCCGCGTTTTTCACCCGCCCGATTTTGCCAGCCCATGCTTGCCAACCCGGCTTGCTCCCTACTTAGGTAGGGGGTGGGTTTCGAAAATAGAAGCCTGCCAAAGAACGGGCTTCCTACCCCGCCTAGACCCGCGTTTTTCACCCGCCCGATTTTGCCAGCTCATGCTTGCCAACCCGGCCCGCTCCCTACTTAGGTAGGGGGTGGGTTTCGAAAATAGAAGCCTGCCAAAGAACAGGCTTCCTGCCCCGCCTAGACCCGCGTTTTTCACCCGCCCGATTTTGCCAGCCCATGCTTGCCAACCCGGCCCGCTCCCTACTTAAGTAGGGGTGGATTTCGAAAATAGAAGCCTGCCAAAGAACGGGCTTCCTGCCCGTCTAGACCCGCGTTTTTCACCTGCCCGATCCTGTCAGTCCATATTGACAACTCTACTGATATCCGATAATAAACGTTATTTGTACCAAATTGTTTCCATACCATCATTCGATACAATGGCACTGGCATTTTCCCCTTTCACCATCCCTCTGTTTCCTATCATTACAGTCGTCAAAATGCTCGTTCGACCAACTCGCCCCACCCTTTTTATAGGTAAGGGGTGAGTTCCGATTTTGGTGGCCCACAAAAGAGTATAGCTTGGCGGGCCGCAGCCTGGCCTGCCTATAATATATATATATATATATATATATATATATATATATATATATATATATATATATATATATATTGTTGAATATTTTAAAATTTAAATTGCTCCGTAGTAATATTTATTTAAATATTATTTATACATTTTATTATTGTTATAGTGTTGTATCATGTATGCACTGACAATCAATAAATAAAAAGTACATTATTTGAGTACTAAAAGTACATTATTTTATATAATATCAAATAATATATGTTATTTGAGTACTAAAAATATATTATTTTGTTTAATATATATTTAGTATACAAATAATATACTTTTAGTATATTAAAAATGTAGTTTTTTTTTTAATTTTTTATTTTTATGGTAAACATAATAATTTGCCACGGGAAAGTGGACTAGTAAAAGTCCTAAAGAAATTTAAGATTTAATTTGAATGAGGGTAATAATGAAATTAAAATATTATTCTTTATATGTTATAATGATATATTAGTATATTAGATTAGGAAAATGCTTCTTAATCCTCTTTAACAAAGTTTCTCATATTTCTCTTTTTGATGTAGCTCTCAATTATTGGGTGACCATGAATTTGCTAATCAATCACTAATTAAAAATATAAAATTAAACCAATTAAATGATGTCAAGTTAAGAGGAAAAAAATTATAAATAAAAAAAAAGAGGTATATAGCATTACTCATTACAATATTACTAGGTGGAGAATAAAGACAATAGTTATGCTGTGCAACCGAATGTACCATGCACATGGTGCATACAGTTCAAAACGACGTCGTTTTGATTAAAAACGCGCGTCCCACTTAAAAAAAAAAAATCAGGTTCAACTCTCAGCAATAACATTATTGTGGATATATAGTTATGAAATTGTGGTTATATAGTTATGAATTTATGGATATTTAGTTCATTCATTGTGGATATTTAGTTCAATCATATATTGTGGATATTTAGTTCATTCATTGTGGATTTTTACTTCATTCATTCATTCATTGTGAATTTTTACTTCATTCATTCATTCATTGTGGATTTTTACTTCATTCATTCACTGTGGATATATAGTTATGAAATTGTGGATATATAGTTATGAAATTGTGGTTATATAGTTATGAATTTATGGATATTTAGTTCATTCATTGTGGATATTTAGTTCAATCATATATTGTGGATATTTAGTTCAATCATATATTGTGGATATTTAGTTCATTCATTGTGGATTTTTACTTCATTCATTCATTCATTGTGGATTTTTACTTCATTCATTCACTCTGGATATATAGTTATGAAATTGTGGATATATAGTTATGAAATTGTGGTTATATAGTTATGAATTTCTGGATATATAAAAATGCTATTGCCGGGAATCGAACCTGATTTCTTCTTTAAGTGGGACGCGCGTTTTTTTAATCAAAACGGCGTCGTTTTGCAACCGTATGCACCTTGCAAGGTGCATTCGGTTGCACAGCATAATTTGCGGAATAAAGACCCCCCCAAAAAAAGAAGTTATAATATATCCAATTTATCCACCAAAAAACAAAAAAGGACCTTGAATGGGTGAGGCGGGCCAATCAACTATAGGGCTGCTAAGTTGCAGGGCTAATAGACCCAGGCCATATTAATAACTCTGGCAAATTATTGTGTGGACCACGGTTCAAAACAATGTTGTTTTGATATTAAAATTTTATTTTTTCTGCGCTTATGTTAGAAATAATGAACATTCTGAAATAAGATAATGTATTTTATGAATTAGAATAATGTATTTTATATGTGTTAAAATAATAAATTTTTCGGGGTAAAATAATACGGACTATATTTTATGAATTACTCCGTATAATAATATACTTTATGTGTTTTTGGACCGTGGTCTACCCAATTGTGTAAACTATGGTTCACACAATAATGATTGAACAAGTATTCTCTACCTATCGCATGCTTTGCTCAAATCTATACCAATAAAACTGTTTCCCGATCGAGCACTAAACTGGTGTTTAATGTTTTTATGGAATGAAAAGAGCAGGGTGTTCTTGGTTGCCATGTTGTGGGGCATAGAACTAGAATCTGTTATGTCATTAGCAATGTCACGTTGAGGCTTTGATAACAGCTAACCACCTACAGAAGACTAATTTAATGCCCAACTGCAAAGGACAACATTAAAGATTCATGTGCTCTTTTTCCCTCCACACCACTGCAAATTTGTGGCTACGAACAAGTGTTCAACATGCACCAACTAGATAGGTAATTAATGTGTTGAAAGCATAGTGCATTTGTGAATGAAATTCAACCAATTACAACACAACTGTTAATGGCACCAGGTTGTTAATACAATTGTAAAGTGCACGGAATTGTTAATACAATTGTATAGTTAGTTGAATAGTCTAATTATAATTAAAGTTTTAGTTTTATTTTAAAAAGATCGTACGTGTTGAGTGTATCTACATAAAGATGTCAATTTGGTCAATCCATTCTGGTTCGAGATAATTTTCTTAGGACATTGGGCTTATGGATATGAGTTAATTGACCTGATTTTTTTTTTTATAAAATTATCAACATTAAAAAAAAAAAAAAAAAACAAACAAACCTGGAAACTTTAGATCATCGTGCTTATTGGTCCGCCTTCATTGTCTTTCATTCTCCGCTTTGCACGATTATTTCTCTTTTACTTTGTTTTACTGGCATAATTTTATTTATTTATTTATTATTATTATTTTTTTGTCGTTTCTGTGTTTTTCCTCTCGTTGTTTTGACGAGTTCTTTCTCATAAAGCGTGAAACGATAAAACTGGCCATAGCGTATGTGAATGTCATCTTGGGTGACAAACATGACAATGAAAAAGAGACTCCTCTAAACTATTATATGCAGTTCAACTCGATGGAGATATTGTCAATGGAAATAGATACTCCGGTCATCCGGTGGCGTGCAGGACTATTCAACCACTGTTAGTCTTGTGTACGTTTGACCAAATCATTAAAGAAGTTTTAAGTTCCTCCAAAGAATTCACCTTCAAATTAAATAAATTTGTGAAACAGACTGCGAATTAAGTTTTCTTTAAAATTGCTACGGAAGTTGTTTCTATGTCAAACTATAAAGAATATTTAACCATTCCATCCATCTTTATTTTAAATGTTTCACCCTATAATTAATGAATTAGCTTCTTTATTTTAAAAAACAAAAAAAAAAACAAAAAAAAAAAAACTTTTGCATGCATTCCAGATAGACGCAAATTAGTTTCAAATTTAACATGACAAGTTAAATATATTTTTAAAAAAAAATTGAAAACACATTTAGAAAATTTAATTACAAAAATGCGAAAACAATTGACTCTCCAAAATAGCAATGGATATGAACTTCACAAGATCAATCCATAAATCATCATCACCATTCATCATAGGAAATATAACAAACGACAAGGAAATCCCAGAATGCCCCCAACAAGAAAACAATGAAAGACATAAGAAATTGTGTTCCTTAATTATGATTAATTAATATAATCTTTCACACCCTAATCACCATTACTTACACCCCCTGGGAGTGGCCTTGGCCCTGAGAGGATTCTTCATCACCACAGTGAACTCAAACTTGTCACTAAGATCCACTTTGCTGTTTTCCGGGTAAACGGACCACCCGAATTCCTGAACCATCCGGGCCAGCATCAAGTTCACGTGCACCGTCGCCATCCCCAGCCCCGGGCAAATCCTCCGCCCCACGCCGAAAGGCATCATCTTCACGGCGGTGACGCCGGTGATATCGGCGTCCTCTCCGCCGGAGAGGAATCGATCCGGGTCGAACTTCTCCGGGTCGGACCACAGTGTCGGGTCATCCGAAATCGCCGGCAGGAAAAACTCGACGCCGCAATCCATGGGAATGTCGTAGCCGCCTAACTTTGTCGGCTGCGTGACTGCATGCGTCAGCGCGAAGAACGTGGGAGGGTGTTTCCGTAAAAGCTCCTTTACGACGGCGTTTAAGTACGGCATTTTATCGGTGTCCTTCTCGTCAACTTTCCGGTCTCCGACCACGCTTTTGATTTCCTCGTACAGCTTCGACTGTATCCCAGGATTCTCTATCAACCTCGCTATGGCCCACTCGATGGCCGTCGCCGTCGTGTCGGTGCCGCCGTTAAGGAACTCGGAGACGAGCGTCACGAGCTCCGCGTTCGTCGGGG